ATAAATTTAGAGGTGTGTGGGAGTTAGATACTTTGTTATCAAGGCTCGGGACCCTTGAATATCTCTATCTCTCATATAGTGGTTTATCTGTTGTGACCAATAATGCCAGTCGCTATGTCAATCCTAATTTTAAAGCCTTGGAGTTAGCATCTTGCAAGATAAAGGTGTTTCCAGAGTCCTTACGGGCCATGAGAAAACTTCAATTTTTAGATCTATCGAGAAATGAAATCGATGGCCACATTAAGGAGATAGGAGGAAATGAACTGTCTTACTTGGATCTCTCACATAACATCATAACAGGGCCATTCCCTCCATCAATTTGGAACATGGACAATCTTCGATATTTGAATCTGTCCAATAATCGCTTTAGTGGAGTGATTAAACCTGGATATATGAAGTTCTCACCTTCAGTTATAGATATGGGGAACAATAGTTTTAATGACACCATTCCACATGTATGTGGTGTAGAATTAATAGGGCTTATTTTGAATGGAAATCAATTTGAAGGTAAGGTGCCAAGTTGCTTTTCCAAATGCCCATACTTAGAAGTGCTTGATCTGGGAAACAACCGCTTAACTGGTGCATTCCCTGAACAGTTAGGGAGGCTTCGATATCTGAAGATTCTTGTCCTCCGATCAAACAAGTTTCGTGGTCCCATAGAAAGAAGCTCTTCTATGATCGAACACCCATTTCCTAGTTTGAGAATTCTTGACTTATCTCAAAATGAGTTTGGAGGCCATCTCCCTAGAAAATATTTTGAATATTTTGATGCTATGAAGAATGTGGTCAAGGATGGCGAGARTGCATATTTGARTATTTACTACWCTAACAYCTTTTACTCTATCGTTATTGTGGTGAAAGGTCAGCAACTCTCATTTGAGAAAATTTCAAACGACTACACGATTGTTGATCTATCCGCTAACAAATTTGAAGGAGAGATTCCAAACGAAATATGCACTCTTAACTCGTTGATAGTGCTCAACTTATCCAACAACCACCTCAATGGTCAGATCCCACAGACTATAGGTAACCTCTCTGAGATTGAATCATTAGACCTATCCTGAAACCAACTATCAGGAAAGATTCCTCAAAGTCTTGCAGACATCACGAATCTTGAAGTCTTAAATCTCTCGCAGAACCTTCTGGTTGGACGTATTCCTSGTGGGACACAGTTGAGCACATTCAACACTTCATTCGAAGGGAATCCGGGACTATGTGGGTTTCC